TTCTTTCCTCCCATACCCCACATCTAATATCAGAAAATCCTTTTGGTTCTTCCTTCAAAACACATATAGATTCCAACAACTTCTCACCATACTTACCACCTTTAAGGTCTAATTATTTCATAGTCCTCTTCTTGCAATAGCATTTGAACTGTATCCCAGCCTCCACCTTTACACACCATATGGTTAATTTTCCAGATTCCAACCTAGGGGCCCTGTTATCTGGCCTTGCACTACTAACCAACCTTATCCATTTCTCTTCTCCTCAGCAACTGTCCTTCAGTCCTCTTGGCTTCTTTACTGTTTCTTAATACACCAGATACTCTCCTTCAACACAGCCTGGCTCACTGGCTCTTCCCTCTTCCCAAGTATTTTCCTGGCTTGTTGACATCTTCAGGTGTCTGCTGAAAACTCCACTGTCTTGGAGAGGCCCCTGCTGACCACTCATAAGTACTGCAGTCCTTTCATGACTTCTTCTTCCTTACTGTTCTTCATTTATCATTGTCTCTAATTATTTTGGGATTGTTTCCCTAGTAGCTTAAATGGTAAAGAATCTGCCTGCAATGCAGGAGACTCGGGTTTAGTCCCTTAGTCAGGGAAAACTCCCCTGGAGAAGGAAATGGCTACCCACTCCATTATTTTTGCCCAGAGAATCCCATCAACAGAGGAGCCTGGCAGGCTACAGTCCATGGGGTCGCAAAGAGTGACTGAGCAACTAACACTTTCATCATATAATTTAATTACTTAATTTTTTAAACTATTTTCTCCCTGTAGAATGCAAGCTCCATGAGGATAGTGTCTCCCTTGTATTTTTGTTCTTTGTTTTATTCTCAGCTTCTTAAACATACCTAGGAATCACACCCCGGTCTTCTGCATTGCAGGCAGATTCTTTACCATCTGAGCCACCAGGATGCCCTCTTGACTATATAGTCGGTTCTTGGTATGTAAACGTTGAATGAGTGAAGGAGGAATGCTTACTTATTTTTTATGACTCAGGGTACATGTCACTTACTGAGGATCTTCACCTAAGGGCCGGGATTATTTTCACCTTATTCATTGCTATATTCCTACTGTCCAGTAAATAATTGTCAAATGAATAAATTAGGCTGGAAAGGCTTCATAGAAAGCCATATATAGACCCCAAATAGAAAGAGGTTGGAGTAGGTGTGGCAGCTGTGGCATTAACAAGATGTAGACGTAGCCACTGCCTACAGCATGGATGGGCCTGGTCATTATCATACTAACCAAAGACAGAAATAGATGGTATCACTTACATGCAGAATCTTAAAACAAAATGACACAAATGAACTTATTTTTGAAACAAATGTTGAAAAGGACTGGGGAGGGCTTGTGGGGAGGGATAGATTGGCAATTGAGAATTGACATGTACACACTGCTATATATAAAATAAATTACCAACAAAGACCTATTGTTAAAAAAAATTTTTTAAACTCAACTCCAAATCTGTGTAACCTTGTTCCTTTTTACCCTCACAAGCTTCTTCCTTATTCTTTATCTCATTGGGTGGCACTACTGACTGTACATTGTTCCTCAGATCAGCAACCCAGAGGTTAATTTTGACTATTTTGTATCACATCAATCTATCAGTGAAGTCTGTTGATTCCATCTCTTAAATATTTCTGTTTATCTAAATCTCTAAATTCTATAATTACTATGGAATTGTTCCATTGGTACCACTGTTCTCCATGGTATCCATGAAGATACCAAGGGAACATTTCATGTAGAGATGGGCATGATAAAGGACAGAAATGGCAAGGACCTAACAGAAGCAGAAGACATTAAGAATATGTGGCAAGAATACACAAAAGAGCTATGTAAAAGATCTCAATGACCTGGATAACCACGATGGTGTGGTCACAAGCCTAGAGCCAGACATCCTGGGGTGTGAAGTCAAGTGGGTCTTCGAAATAATCACTATGAACAAAGCTAGTGGAGGTGATGGAATTCCAGATGAGCTATTTCAGATCCTAAAAGATGGTGCTCTTAAATTGCTGCACTCAATATGCTGGCAAATTTGGAATACTCAGTGGTGGCCACCGGACTGGAAAAGGTCAGTTTTCATTCCAATCCCAAAGAAAGGCAGTGCCAAAGAATGCTCAAACTACCGCACAATTGCACTCATCTCACATGCTAGCAAATTAATGCTCAAAATCCTTCATGCTAGGCTTCAGCAGTATGTGAATGAGAACTTCCAGATGTACAAGCTGGACTTAGAAAAGGCAGAGGAACCAGAGGTCATATTGCTAGCATTTGTTTGATCATAGAGAAAGCAAGGGAATTCCAGAAAAATATCTGCTTCTGCTTCATTGACTACACTAAAGCTTTTGTGTGGATCACAACGAACTGTGGAAAATTCTTAGATGGGAATACCAGACCATCTGACCTGTCTCCTGAGAAGCCTGTATACAGGACAAGAAGCAATAATTAGAACTGGACATGGAACAATGGACTGGTTCCAGATTGGGAAAGGAGTACGTCAAGGCTGTATATTGTCACCTTGCATATTTAACTTATATGTACAGTACATCACACAAAATGCCAGTCTGGATGACTTAAGCTGGAATCAAGATGGCAGGAGAAATATCAATAACGTCAGATATACAGATGATACCATTTTAATGGCAGAAAGCAAAGAGGACCTAAAGAGCCTCTTGATGAAGGTGAAAGAGGAGACTGAAACAGCTGCCTTAAAATTCAACATACATAAAACAAAGATCCTGGTGTCTGGTCCCGTCACTTCATGACAAATAGATGAATGAAAAGTGGACAGACTTTGGATGAAAAAAACAGTGACAGATTTTATTTTCTGTGCTTTAAAATCACTGTGAATGGTGACTGAACCATGAAATTAAAAGAAGCTTGCTTCTTGGAAGAAAAGCCCCAACAAACCTAGACAGTATACTAAAAAGCAGAGACACCACTTTGCCAACAAAGGTCCGTATAATCAAAGCTATGGTTTTCCCAGTAGTCATGTATGGATATAAGAGTTGAACCATAAGGAAAGCTGAGTGCCAAAGAATTGATGCTTCTGAATTGTGGTGCTGGAAAAACTCTTGAGTCCCTTTGCCAGCAGGAGATTAAACCAGTCAATCCTAGGAAATCAACCCTGAGTATTGATTGGAAGGACTGATGCCGAAGCTGAAAGTCCAGTACTTTGACCACCTGATGGGAAGAACTGACTCATTGGAAAAGACCTTGATGATGGGAAAGATTGAGGGCAAGAGGAGAAGGGAATGACAGAGGATGACATGACAGTGGACTTGAATTTGAACAAACTCGGGGAGATAGTGAAAGACAGGGAAGCCTAGTGTGTTACAATTCATGGTGTCGCTAAGAGCTGGACAGGAATTAGCGACTGAACAAGGAACAACAATCAGCATGGAATTGGCCACTGTATAGTCTCACAAACAGTTTTGTGTCTTGGCCTCCAAACTGATTTCTGTGCCTCAAGTTATGCTTTTCCCCAGTCTGTTCTCTACAGTGTGGCTAGTACCATCCTTCTAAAATACAGACTTGATCATGCATTTTTCCACCACAGTTAGAAATAGGAATATCAGTTGAAGCAGTAAAAGAGAAGGGATATAGATGGGTAAAAGTACAACCAGATATACATACAGTTTTAGTGCTGATTTAGTGATTACGAGGGTTTGATCCTCAAAAATTCAGAACTCTATAATCTTAGAGTGTCTACTAAAACCAAAAATGTCGTTTGCTTATACTATAAATGTGTTTATTCACTAGATACATCTTTCCCTGGACTTTAACATATACTCTGCCTCTCACACTATTATATTATAATCTACAGAATATTCAACTTTCATATATTCTTTAAATCACTGACATGATCCTCTGTAAACAAGAGATATAATTTATTTTTCTCATAAAAATTTCCCACTTTTATATGATGTTTTAGATGGTGCATCATTCTCTATGTCACTCTGGGTGTAGTATTCTAGTGCACCTTCTAAGTTTAAAGTGCAAGTATTTTGTAAAATCTTGGCTTTCAGAAAATATCTCAATCCAGGCAAAGTCTGGAGGTCACATCTGGCTTTTAAGAAGTTTGTGTTAAGTTCAAAATTATTACCAAGAGAGGATTCATATTAATCTCCATAATCTTGCTATATCATTTTCATTTTCTTCTGAAATGCAGTGGGTGCCAGGATTTAGGAAACAGAATCTGGATTTCTTCTCTGGGTTTAAAACCTCTCTGTATTTTTCCCATCCTGCTGTTTCCCCTTTTGTGTCCTCTTGTCTCCTTTACAAATTGTGCAGATCTGACATGTTTAGATCATTAGTCACATTGCTTAGTCTGACCTTGAATCTTTGTTGATACATCTCCGCTACCTGCCAGAGACAGGCAGCTCAAAAAGAGTGAACTGGGCAAGTTCTGAGACATTCGTAAGTGTTTTAGCCTGAAGACACACTTTAGTCTAAAGATGCCCAAGTTTGCAAATTTAAGCATAGATGATTTAAACAAAACATGCTTACATTTGAGTTATAGAGATTAACTGTGACTTCCGGTTTATACTCTCCTCTACCCTCTCTGTAATTCCTCAGATTTTTAAGATTAGTTTTCCAAATTCAGCCTTTCTTGCTAGATCTAGCAGTAATGTGGTTTCTATGAATTATTCCTGGCTCTATCTAAAAGCATCATGTTTCATCTATGCTTTTAACTATGCTTTACCTCTAGTTAGGACATATGAGATCATCAGTCACCATGCCAGATGCTTTATATATGTTATCCAATTTAGTCATTAATATATGTCTTAAGCATAGTTGGTATCACCATTTTATAGATACCAAATCTGACATCAGAAGAATAAGTTACTTACCAAAGGTCCCATAATTAGTAGATGAAAATGCTTTTAACAGATGAGCTGATACATGATATCTGAAAGTAGTTTCATGACCATTTTTTAAAGAATGCAGTGCTCCCCCATTTCCTAGTTTGCATGGTATAACACTGTACCCTGTCTTTTCAGTGTATAGTCTTTGCTATGACTTCTGGCCAGATGTGGAATCACATCCGTGGACCACCATATGCTCATAAAAACCCACACAATGGACAAGTGGTAAGTGCATGTTCTAAGCATCAATATTATGAACTTGAATCCTGTTTACACGTCAGTCAGAAATTTAATATTTAGTAAGAGTTAATTTGTTAATCTAAATATATGTTCCCTTTTTTCTCATGTTCCTCCACTATGTACATACACAACATGCACATATATATATATATATATATGTGCATATGTATTTTAGGGTGAGGACTGCTTTATCATGGATTAAAAAAAATTCAGTGTACCTACCATACCAAATATACACACATAAATTATTTTTTCAACTTTGTAGACTGCTATGGCAATAATATGTAATGCCCGAAGAGGAAATAAAAAGTTTTAATGAGCATCCCAGCATTGGTAAATTTAATTTTTTCAGAAGAGATTAAATGGTAAATTTAATTTAGTTCATAAGATCATTAAAAACTCGAGAAAACATTGTATTAGAATGCCAGGAACAGTGTGCCACAAAATTGAAAGTGCAATTGGAGTGCAGTTCTGTCAGTAGCAGAGTTGACTTTAGTAACTGTTATTGTCTTATTGCCTTCCCTTTCCACCGAAAATGGTCAGTGGCACATACTGTCATAGATTGACTTTACAAAATACTGTCTCTGAGGCTTAGTATTAGAGGTTACTGAAGATTATTATCTGTTTTAAAATGTGCCTCTTTTCTCTAGCTTTTTCTTTATATAGGCTTTTGAGGGAAGAATATAATGTTACCCTGTATGTACTCATCACCAAACTTAATTGCCATTTCATAACCCATCATGGTCCATCTATTCTCCTGCCCAGTACTCTTCACTTGCTGTTGGATACTTTTGAAATAATCTACCAATATCATTTCATTTACACATAAATATTTCAATAGATTTTTATAAAAAATAAGATTATCTTTAAAAATCTAACAGTAGTAGCACACAATCACACATAAAATGGTAATAAATTCTTAATTTCTGAAATTTGGTTCTGAATGGAATACTGTTATCCTGTGGCAAATAATGTTATGGTTTCTCTGTGAAGGTATAGTGTAAGCTTGTGAGGTTTTTTCTTCACTGCTTACAGTACTTCACATATCTTTAATATTAAAGAAAGCTGCTAACAAGTTATTTGTTTCTTCTTCCTAAATTGATTGTGACTTTCTTTGAACTTCTTTGTGGAACTGTAATTTAGGGATATAACTCATTTTATTTATTGTATGCTCCCTGGTGACTCAGTTAGATTTTAAGGACTGGTTGCAAATAAGTAGAGTTGCAGCCACTGATACTACATATTATAATAACAGTTTGTCTCATATTGTTGTCACCACTTTCAGATATATTCTGTAGGTGTCTAGGATATAGAGTCAAAGTTCGACTCTAAACCAGACATACTTTTTGTTACATGTACTATGTTTTTTGAAATCTGTCACTACTTAGAGAAGTTATTTGAGTATCTCAACTATTGAGAATTAGATTTTACAGAAAAAATAATGGAAGTAATCATCAAGCAATAAATTGTCCCCTTTTCTTCAAGTCTTCCTGACTGCCCTATTTGAGAGTACGGTTGTTTTCTCACCACCCCCTCTCAGTTATCCATACTCACTATCACCCTTTCCTCTTTAAATTTTTTCTCCTTTATTACTTAAAACATGCTATATAATTTATTTATTTTGTGTTACATTTGTTTGTCTTTTGCCAGGACCCCAGTAGGACATAAGCACTTCAGAAAATGAATTTTTTTTTATATCTGTTTTAGTCCCTGACATATTCCTATTTCATAGAGAAGGGCCTGAGACAAAGATTTGATCACTATGGTGTCAGTGATACTTAAAAGTATGAATTTAGGAAATCTTATATTTTTATTCCTGTCATTTAACATTCTTCTAAAATAATATTCCTTATGTAAAAATAATTAAGCACTGCCTTTTGTTATTGTTTATTATTTGCTAATGTATATGAAAAATAACCTCCTTATGAAATGTTTTAGCTTGTGTAGGGGAAGAAAATACAATTTTCCCTTTACTGTTCTGAGTCCCTCTTTGGTTGAGGTCCCTGTAATAAAAGAGAATAACAAGAGAAAACCAAATCTATTACCATGTATACCTCATGTATACATGGGAGATACTCAGGAAGAAAGAAGAACACTCAGAAGTGGCTTAGATCTCAGGCTTAAGTACCAGCTTTGGCTAAAGACAGAAAGAAAAGTACTGAGGGAAAGTCAGTTATGTGGAGGTGACCAGGAAAAGGAAAGTTAAGTTTACTATGCAGATAGAATTTAGCAGGTACCTTCGCAGTTGATAAGGAGCTATAGTTGTCTCCAGGGATTAACCTTTGTCCTTCCTGGTAGAGAAAGGGGAAGGGACACCTTTGTAAATTTAGGGCCTGCTTTTAGGGAGATGGGAGAAGACTTTTCTTGTATCTGCTTCATCTCATCTCTGCTTTATCTCAATACCTTCAGCTTAAATTCTTAGGCCAAAGTGGCATATTAGAGTATCATATTCTGTCATCCTTCTTTCTCACTGTCATCTTCTTACCATTTCAACCTTTACTTTGATAAGTCATGAAACTAATCCCTTCACATGTAGTTTATTGGAGTGAGCTCCAAAAAAGTTTGCACCAACAGTGACAACAACATGGATGCCATCTACTGCTAACTGAATATATGCTGGGCACCAGACTTCACAAATGAGTACTTTAGGCCACTAGATGAACATTGCTAAAGCACATTGATTATAGTTAAAATATCAATATATGTGGACCTAAGTTAACTCCAGTCAAGTGGGAAGTCCTAAGTAGCTCTCCATTAATACTCCCATTGTAATCTTCATTTGCATCCTGAGACTCCACTGCTTTGCAAAGAAACTCTGTATTAGTGTATTTGTACTGCCCCTTGTCCCCTGCATACGTGTTGCTTTCGCTTCTTCCATTCCTGCCTGGAATTTCTATCAAAATATGCCCATCGTCAGACACCACCTAATTTGCCATCCCTCTGAAATGCATCATTTAATTACATTAGAAATTCTTTTTTCCTTTACCCTACTTATAAACATGTAGTTATCCCATTTATGTATCTCTGCATTCCTTTATCATAATAATCCTTAAATATTTTATGTATCTTACATTAGTCAAATTCTAACCATTGAGTTTATTTTAAGCTGTTTTTCATCTTTACACTAACATACAACTGGTCCTCATTAAATGTTTTCTTAAAAGATTTTAAAGACACTAGGAGATGTTTTCTTAAATTGGATTATCTTAATTCTTTCAATTTATTTTTTCTCACTAGTCAGAAGAGTAATAGGATCAACATGTCCCTGTTAATTTAGCATAAACCAGTTAGTAACCTTAACATGACAGGAACATTTAAGGTTCAGATTAGATCGGAAAGAAATTTTCTCTATTGATTAAGAAAATTTTTTATCCTGTTCCACATTGTTGTATTACTGTTTTGTAGGTAGAGAATGGCATGGCCAGTAAGAAAAGGTCCTGTGATGGCCAGAGGAACACATTAATAAAACAGAATTTTCTATATTTTTAAAAGAAAAAACTTCACCTTTGTACATTAATGAAAAATACATACATTGAAAGTGCATATAACTTTTAATGTGCATATTTTAGCTTTTCAGGACATTTTCTTTTCAGCACCTTATCAAAAGTTACAGAAATGAGACTTATACCTATAACCAAGATATTCAAAAAGATGAATTTTGTCCAAAACTCTTCACTCTCTTCTGTTTTACAAAAATATAATGTTTTCTTATATTTGAATAAAGTATTAGGATTGAAGGGAAAAAATCATGAAAGTCTGGAAATATAGGAGGCTTCTTGGTACAGAATCAATTGCTTGAATGTGGTCTTGGCCAGAGATGTGGATCCAGTTTTAGACTGTTGTGAGATGTTAATTACTAAGCAGTGTAGACAAAGGCAGGTTAAAGGGGCAGGTTAAAGTTGTCCCTTGGAATATAGCTCTCTTCTTGTTTTAAATTTTAACATATTTTAGAAAAACACCCCTTCCTGCTTTCTTGTATGCATAATGTCAACATATACTGAAACAGAAAATTGTGGTTTAAGTTTTGTTTTAATGAATTGATCTGCATAATAATGTGTTTTCCTATTACTGAACAAAATAGAAGATTAACTTTGCTTTATAACATCAAGTGGTTACTGGCAAAGAATTATACTTTAAACAATGCTTGTTCATTAGAATAATAATAGTGAATAGGTTTTTTTTTTTTTAAATAATAGATGTGTTTAAATTTCAAGATACAACTTGAAGATTAGCACTATCCTTCTTTGTAATTTCTTCATATTTTAACCTTTATTTCTGAAAAGAAATTACCATGTAGTATTTGTGTTTTTGAGAATAGCTATAATTAGGCTATTTATCTCTTTCAGTGGTATGGAATAAAATGACAGAATGAGTATCTTATGAATATTTATATAGGAATTGTGTAATTTGGCATTAATTCTTGATGACTAGTGCACATTTAGTGAAGTAAGGTATATGAAACAGTATTTTTATTGTGTTTTTCATACTTTTAACATAATTGAATAACCATCTATATTTTAAAGATTTATTTTTAGGTAGGTACTACACATAAATAACAACTAACTGAATTCTAATTTTAGTTCATTTTTCCTGAATTAGTTTTAAAAATGTTTTGCTTCAACTATTGGATTTGTCTTAGATGGTTTGAGAAACTGTAGTAAAATTGTTTATAAAGAACTATTTCATTGTTAAAGTGAATTAACTTTATTAATATTTTAAAATTATATTCAGAATTTCTCTCTGGTTTTTAGAAATAGTTGGGGGATTTTTCCCCCCTTTTTCTGAAGTTGGTTTCTAAATAGAATTCTGAATGATGGTGAGTGCTTTCATGCTGGGCTTTTAAAATTTGCTGTTTTTCCTGTACCATGGGAATTTTTAATGGGTTTTGGCTTTGTTATATCTAGTTTCATACCTTTTAGGCATAATGCTGTGAGGTCAGAGAGCAGATATTTTACAAATGAGGAAAAATAATAGTCCAAGTAGTA